TTTGGCTTCATTCTCTTGTCGATAGTCTCTACCTTGTATTATTTCTATTATTTCGTCAGCTTTCAATTCCATATTTTTACCTAATTCAGATATTTTGTCGGCTTCTTTCCTAATTTCATTTTTCAAAGCTTGACTCATTTCAAATTCTTTGATAATTTCTTTCTTCAAAAATAAATTCTTCTCGCCGAAAACTCGAGGAATCTTTCGTACAGGCGGTATAGAAGGTTCGTTCAAATCATCTTCATCGAAATCAAAGCACGATAGTCGTGATTTTTTGTCATCTTTATCGGAAGCATGTTTGCTCTCACTATCAGAACTTGAAGTATCCCTCTTTTGGGACTTGTTTAATGTTTCATTAGATCTACCAATAGTATTGGTATCCTTTTCAGTATCCTCAAAGTCGGATGTTTTATCAGAACTAAATTGGATATTCCTTGAAGCGTGCAAACTATCCAATGAACCTTGCATTATGCGTATCGAAGCTAACTGTTCAGTTTCTTTAAGTAGTTTCTCTGTTTCTGCTAGAATTTCATTATTCTCCACAGATGCAGTATTCTTGTCACCGTAGCCATCAAGCTCCTTGCCATCATCGAAACTTGACTGATTTTTTGTGGGTGAAAAATCAGTGCTTAACCTACTATTTAGGGAATTATTTGTATCAACATTCATTTCTTCATCCGATTCATCATCCCAATCGGCCAACAATTTTTCCCGCAATTCTGGATCGCTCTTCTTTTTCTTATTGGATTTCTCGGTCTGTTTCGAATGCTTCCGTTTAACCGATTCCTGCCTATTCTCCGTCTTCTTTTTACTTGATGTACCTTTATCTTTCTTCACGTATTTTCGTTTTGGTGTGCTTGTATCAGAAATCCTGCTGTGCGACTGAGAGTACGTTTTCACCTTCGATCGTGGTATTGGCGAGTCATCGGACCGGTGACTCTTTATGTGACAAATTATAACGTTAACACGCGAAGAAGTGAAATTACAAAAATGACAACGATATACTGGGGAACCTGCATTAGATGGAGTCGACGGTAAACTATTGGGTTGCTGACGAATACGGACCTCGTGATCACTCTCTCCACGTAAAAAACGTGGATGTGTGATCTTCCTCATGATCTCTGAACCATCGCTCCGCCTATGTCCTTCCTCGCGATCGCGTTTTTTCTTTGGAATTTTCTTCTCACCAAACAGAGCTGAGATATCCGGTTTCTCTTCAGGACAAAATTTCTCCTGATTCAATATATCAGGATCTCCTCCTGTTAACTTCTCTGCCATCTCCACATCACCTGGGAATTTGTCCATATAACTGCTGCCATCTTTACTCTTGATTCTGTATTTATCTATTTATGCAAAACAAAACTGATTATTTTAATATACAATTTGACTGTACGAAAACTTATATGATTCATTATACTTACCCATACCCTTTTTAATAAATTCATCTTTAAGCGTACAATTGTATTTGTAGATCTGTTGATAGTTTTTGACAAATTCACTAAAAGAAAAATTTAATTTAAATTATCACTTTAAACAATTTGTCTTATATGAATATATAAGAAAATTAAAATTTGTGCTACTTACTAGGTGTCTTCTTGAAAAAATTTTACAGCAGCTATTAATGGCTTCTTTTTAAATTCAATTTGTATTTCTTCCGGTAAATTATCCAGCCCAATGACTTGACCAGGCCACCAGCAAGCTCCCAATTTAACCCAAACGATATCTCCATCCAAATAATTAATTTCCGTTTGTTCACACATTTTGTATTGCAAAGTATTTCATTCAATTCTTTTATAAAAAATCAACATTGGTCAATACCAAGAGTTTCTTCAAAATCTATTTCTCTAGAGAAACATTAGCGCAATTACCCAAGATCGATATGCTATACAACAAAAAAAGTTTTCCTAAATTATGCAATCTTAGTATACAATTTAAATTTCGAATGTAGATAAATCTTGTTTAGGAGTACATACATACCTTTATAACTACATGCAAACAGGTATTGCAAGCAAATGCTGTAGCAAATGCTGAATTCTCAGCATCAGATAGCTGGATCGCTCTCTTCTGAACAGATCGCTCCTCTTCTAATTATTTATTTTTCTTCAAATGAAGAAAGAATTATTGAATATACTATCAAATATAACCATGCACATAATCTTCATTTATAAATAATTAATTGTCGCAAGATTCAAAATACACTTAAAGTTGTCAGAACTATCACTGCACTGTCGAAACGTTTCGTTGCAATTGTCTTTCAAGCGAATGTCCCTCCGGAATCCCAAGCATGCTCGTTGCAGGCGACAATCATAAAAATAACACTGGTTCAGAATGAAGCTCGTGTATCAGTATAATCGGCGCAAAGAGGTCCACGGTGTGCTCGTGAGAAATCCAAAATGCATGACCCGACTGCGTGGTGGTCTAGCTATCGCCTCGATGCTGACGTTGCTGGCGGCAGCTACGTCGGGCATCTTAAGCCCGTGAGTTGCCGTGAGTCGCGTGACGAGCGATCAACCTTCAATATTTTCCTTTCCACACGTACCTTTAGACACACTTATCAGAAGTACCGCCGGCTAAATGCGACGGACACACTCGCGTGTGTATAGTTTATGTAAGAAGCGTCGAAAAGTGTCGGCCGCTCTCTCTCTCCCCCCCCCCCTCTCTAACTCTCTCTCTTTCTCTCTTTCTTTCTCGCTCGATCGCTCGCTCGCTCGCTCGTTCTCACCGTACTCCTTATTTCTCCTCTTTGTCCCTTTCTCGTTCGTTCTCACTCACTCGTACGCAAACTCACTCACTCGTTCGCTCGCTTTTTCTCGCGGCACCCAACTCCGTGCAGCTCCGCCGTATCTCCGCCTCGCGTAACGCACACCGCTTGGAAGCTCGGAAACCGCCAGATACACCTCGATTCACGTGATTTCGTCGACGACGACACATGCGACCACAGAGTAAAACAGGCTGAAGCCTGTGCGAAATGTACTCGACAACAACAACGTTGCAAAAATGCTACGTCGTTCGCGCAACACGACGTACGTTATACGTACATATTCGGTTACCCGACTTGCAACGGGGCCTCACATTTGCCTCACCTCATACGATAGGGTAGATGAATTGGAATGGTTGGAATACTACCTAGAGTACCTAGCTAGTACCTTTTCTCTTTCGATTCGATCGTGACCGACAAGTCTGCCAACTGATGAGATAGCAGTGCCAATCAAAGCCAATCGCCAACGCCGCGATTCGCGCGTTTTTCGAATTTCATTTCCAAATTTTCATTTCCTCTTCGACGATAACGAATGTTTCTTCTCAGATTTCAATAGTAAAGGTGGAATCATACGATACTCGATTTCTCGAATGATGAAGTGTGCTATTATGCTTGCTTTGATGCATGTCTAACGTTTGACAAATAACTATGAAATTAGCAATTATTTCTTTTGATTGATACATGCAAGGAAGTAAGCTGTACAATAATCCATAATAAAAATCATGTATGTATATGCAGCATGCAGCACTCAATGCATGAACGAATTCTAGCATACATCAATGATTTTTTACATCTTAAAGGCTATAATAGAGAAAATACAATATTAGAAATATAAATAAATATTAAGGATCTGAGACCGGAATTCTGTAAACAGCCAATCACCTCGCATGAGCGCTCGCTGCTATTTTACTATATTCTTCTAGATCATCCAATGGCAGCGAGCGTTCACGCTCCGTAACAGTTGAGTGAGGCTGCAGCTGAACGCGACCAATGATGTTACTGATTGGCAACGAGGTGTTTGAAATCATCAACAGATACTATTAAAGACCGCGACAACCCTCGACAAATTTTCGTCCTCACAAAAGAAAATGCCCCGAGGATCCGGAGGTAATTGAAAAACACTAACATAATCGATATACATTTGCAATTATTAATATTGGGTCATCTAAAAAGTATCCGCGGTTTTTTGTCACTAAATGGTGTTGATGGTCAACACATCTAGTGACAAAAAACCGCGGATACTTTTTAGATGACCCAATACATTATTAAATTCATGTTTTTTATTATACAAATGCTCTATAAATAATTAAGTATGCATACTTATAATATTACAATATCTTAATATTGTCACAAAATTACAATTTTTTTTTCTACAATTATCGTTTCCATTGATAACTAAACCCAGACGTTCACACGGCTCGATTTATATGTCTAATCACAGTTAGGTTCTGCGTACAATGGAAGAAATATTATAGAAATAGAAATAAATAGTAAATTTTAATCCGTATTATGTATTCCGGTATAACTCTGGTATATATCTGATAAGTCAAGTTCAAATATATTTTAATAAATATTTATTACTGTTCCTAATATTAGTTCTATTGTGTGCAGCAGGTCCTTATTCCATTCTTCGGAATAGCTACGATTACGTGTAAATAAAATTACGTGATGATAGTTTAAAGTGAAAATTTCTGCAAATTCCTTCATCTCGATTGATCAAGCGTGGTCAAGCGTTTCGAAGCGTTTGACATTGACAGGGCATTAAGTGAACATCTACCGATCTACATACTACGTAGTCGATGGTCAAAGTCGATATCTCTGAAATGGCGCGAAATAGCGAAGAAACTTTTCCGCGAATGGGCGGCGCGTATCCGTATCAAGTATCCGACAGTATCAAAGTATGTAGTACAGTTATGTTATATATACAGTAACGACGCGACGTTATTTTGCCAGTTAGGTTGACCAACCTGTATCGTCTGGCCACGCCGAGCGAAAAGGATGATGGCGCTGGTATCGCGGCTTGCTTTTCCGGTGCCATACGGTGCGCCGTTCAATTTTTCTCTGGCTGGCGCGTAATTTGCATGACGGCCGGGCCGGCAGCACCGACTGCCGTTTGCCGCCCGTGTTTGACGTTTCACGAACCGCGACGTTGCCTGACGTCCTCGACGTCGGATTCGTCGGCTATCTGCCGTATTTTCTGCCGATTTCTTAAATCTCAAGTCTCCGGCTTGACGCCGGAAGCCGAAAGCTGGAAGTGCACCTGTGCACTGCTGTGCACGGGTTGGGTTCATCGTCGAGCGTCAGGCGTCAGGCGTCAGTCCGGCAGCCTCAGCGGCCTCAGCTGTCCTACTACGTCTCGCTCGTAACGGACGTTGTCGGAGCGCAGGAAAATGGCGACCGCTGTGCCGTCTCGATTCGCCGTCCTCAGCATCGAAGACGACGATTACAAGCCGAAGAAGACGCAGAAGAACGCGACGACGAGCAAGAACAATGCCAAGAGCAAGAGCGACAAGTCCAAGCCGCAACAACAGCAGCAACCGAACAAAAAAAAACAGAACAAAGTATGACGTGTGCGTCCTCCGTTGCGTTTTTGTTTTTGATTAGCCGGCTGACCGCTAAACGTCAACCGGATACGACATCACTGATCACGGCGGGAAATCGCCATCTTTCAAATCCTTTCGATGACGATGTGTCATTGGCTTTTTTCTTAATTTTAGGGAAAAAAGAAGAAAACGAATAACGATGACCAACAGTGGGAACAGTGGAAGCAAAAGGATACTATGGTAAAATATGAATTTTTCATTAAATTATTTTATCCAACATTTATTATTATTTATCAAGTAATTCTTTTCTATCTATATTGCCAAAATTTCTTATGTTCAAATATTTTGCCTTACAAAGGCATATTTTATTTTTAGTTTCTTCATTTTCTCTTTATTTAGCAAAACTAAAACTTTTATTTTTGCATAGAAAGTCCAAGAGATTATTTTAAATATTGTTTCTGTTGAGTTCTGATAATTATATATATATAGCTTAATAATAATTTCTTATTCTTTTATTATATTAAATTATAATTATCCTAAGGCTGTCGAAGAAACGTTTGAGCAAGAATTGCACCAAGCCATCCTGCTGTCAAAATTGGCATATGAAGAAGAATTGGTTAGCGTAGCGAAAAATGAAAAAGAACAAGAACAGAATAAAAAATCTGGTAAAAAGTCGAAAAAAGCGACTATGTCATTGGAAGAGTTTAATAGCATGGGAACAAGTACGACAGTAGTACCAACAAATGAGCCTACAGATAAGTCAAGAGGTATTATTTTGTTATATAATACTTGAAAATGAATAGAAAGATTATATTGTTAATGTAGAAAGAGTAAAACAGATTTTTTTTTGACACTGCCTTTTGTAGAAGTAGACACAGAATTTTTTGAGAGAGTAGAAAAGGAGACGAAAGAAGAAATAACAAAGGGAAAAGAAAAAGATATATTGAAGGCCAGATTAAATAAAATCGACGATGACATAACATTTGCACAGTTGAGAGTAGAAATTGAGAAACGTGATGAAGTAATTGGCCAATTGAGGGCCGAGGTACACATGTTGAAAGAAGAATTGACACAAGTTAAAGAGAGAAATAAAAAACTTTATCAAATATTGTCACATGGTGAGAGTAAGTATCACATCTTTTATGCATCAAATGCATGTATATGTAAACTTTTGTTATTTGTAATTATCTCTTTACTTTTAGTGAAGGATAAAGCATCGGTATTGGCTGAAGTTGCGAAACTACAAGAGATACGAGATGAACTAACATCCGAGGTAGCTTCTTTACATGCTCAACTAGAGCAAGAAAGATCTAAAACACGTACATCAAGTGTAGATGTAAAAACATCTAAACAAACTGTACGTACGCGATACATTGTTTCGATTTTTCTTTAAATGTATTTGGATAATTTTGTGCTTACTGCATCATGTATCTTTCAGAACAAGAAGAGGCCGGCCAGTGAAAATGCCTAATTCGTTTTTCACGAAAAACTACCATTGTGATCAATTAATTTTAATTAACGATGCATATTGATTAAGTAGCAATTTGAGAAGGAACATTATATTTTCAAAGAAAAACGTTTATTTCTTATTGCATGTGCAGCATATATTGTATTTGCTCGTTAAAAATACGTTAGACAGCAATTAGCTGATCGTTTCGCGATGATATATCTTGAAAGTAGGATTATAGCCTATATGTTGATAATTATTTTATTTTTATCTTTTTTTTAAAGACTAATACATATAGTTTATTTTTCGCATTTCTTTTCTTAATAAGTTTAATGAGTTTCTGGAATTTGGAAATATTACATCAAAGAATTTCTTTCTGAAATATATAATTTGCTAGCTCTTCCAAACTAAGAATTTAATATAATGTATTATCTTCCGATTTTTTGCGTATTAACATACATACGTATTCATGTGAATATAAATATAAATTTATATTCACACACATACACACAAAAACACACACACACACACACACACATGTATGTATGTTAGTTGAGATATATATATATATATACAATACTGTTAATCATTAATTATTTTCATTCCTTTTAAATGTTTATAGACATGTATTATAGTATATAATATTTAATTTGTATAACTTTAATATTTAATGATTAAGGAACAAGTTCATTTTTTATTTAACAAGTATTACTGTTATATTTCATTACGTGATTTTTTTATATTTGTATAAAAACAATTTCCTCCATAACTCTTAATTCTCTTCCCTCATATTCGATATATATCTTCATATATAGAATAACAGATTATTATACATTTTAATTCGAAATAAAGTTTATAGATATTTGTGTGTTAATTCTTTTAAATTCCTACTCTAAAATATTGTGAAATTTCTCTACGTTACTAAATACAATAAGATGTATCTAGTACGGGTAAACATAAATTTGTGTTGAAAAAAAAATTTTGCTAATTCATGTAAAAACTATACGCGTTTTATTATTAAACGTAATGTGATATTTCACGTTAATGTTTCTGATTTCCGAAATTGGACAATTTTGTTTCTGTCCTATGTGATCTCATCGTCATCTCGATTTACCAATTTTCAGTCCTTTCAACGATTCTAGTGGGCGGCGCTACGTCCATTCGCTATTACGATACTAAGCTTCATCCGGATTATACGTGCGGTTGCGCATTTTTATGGAAATTTTTTTGTCCACTTTTTCTGCCTCGAGTTATTCCGCGTGAATTTTTTTCGAGCTCGCTCCCGGCAACTTCAACATGCAGTTCGATACGTTACACCTCACGTTCCGATTCTTTCTTTCCTTTTTTCTTTTTTTTTTATACGGCTTTGCTCTATTCTCCAGTACACATAAAAAAGGGAATTTTCATATTCCGCGTTAGCTTTATATGGATTATGAATTGTGTCTTGTACAAAGAAAAGAGATTTATATTTTATCTTTAATTGTTTTATCTGGATGATAAAAATTACATAATTATTATATCTAAATATATATGTAAAATCAAAGGAAACGATGTTAACGATTCATGAATTATTCAGAAATTATCAGAAATATCAATCAGATATCTTAATTTTCTGTGTAGAAATTAAGCGTAAGTAGATTAGTCTTTGATGTGAAACGTTGCTATTTTACTGAATAAATTATGCGGCCATAAGTCAATAAATCAATCACGATAATATCGCAACGATTATGTCGAGGAGACGCGATTAATGTAGTTGAATTTTACCCGATGACCACCGATGACTGATGCGTGTTGGCGACCCGGACAGGACAGGCTTGTGTCCTCGTCTCTTGTAGTCTCTTCTAGTCTCTTCTCTCCATAACTGAGATCTTGACCAATAAAAGGAGCATTAACGCTAAGTGGACGCTTCGCCTTCTCGATCATAGTCGTGTTTGTTACGCGAGAGCAAGAGGGTGGCAAGTACGAGGGACGCGACAGGTTTAGCGACAGATATGACTATCACTTAATTTACGACACCTTTCAGCATCCAACTAATATAGGTGCCCAACTTTTGAGAAATAGAACAGAGAGATATAATAGATGAATGCGCGTACGTGATGACTCGTATGTACCTGTGTGTGTATGTGTGTATGTTGTGTGTGTGTGTGTATAAAAGGAAATTGCTCTTTTCGAAACGATCGAGATATTGTATACATCTTTCATGATTAAATCAAGATTTAGTGTTTTCTACTTTACTTTGACATCAAGTATTTAGTATTATACATATATAATAATATAGTTTATAAGTTCATAATTTATTAAATGAAATAGAAAGATTCTGTAAATGTGACAAAGCTAGGCACTTGATCTCTGTATAAGATTCAAGATTAATTCATTGATTTCCTTTGTTCCGGAGTAAATTAATTGCTGGAATAGACAATCTTTTTCAATGGGGCAGTTGCGCTTTCACTTTATTGAAAGTAAAAAGTTGTTCTTTGGAATAAAACGCGACTTTCTCGAATCCATCGCTGTTGCAGAGGGAGAAAGATAAGCGAAGGAAGGAAAGGGATGTGAGAGAGAGAGAGAGAGAGAGAGAGAAAGAGAGAGGAGAGGGAGAGGAGGCGAATAGGGAGGAAAGGATGTCGAGGGGAACACGGTGGATTGAGGGTTTTAGGACGCGCGACGGTGTAGGGGGTGACAGTGGGGATTCATTATCTGACAGTCTATTGTCATTCCTGCGGGCTGAGATTTTGCTCGGGCCACTAGTACACACACCGAAACGTTACTCAACTTGGATGTACGTATGTGTGTGTGTATAAATGGAGGAGAGGTGGTGAAATGCAATACTCTCTCTCTTTAAAAATACGTTTGTTGAAAAGTCGGAGATTTTAGACGGTTGCATTTTCTTCTGTGCATATAATGGCAACGCGCGATGATACTTTTTGCATTTAAATTCATGCACCAACGAAATTTGTGTATATATATATATATATATTTTTTTTTTTGCCTTTCTCTTTTGCAATTTGGATTTTCGATCTATATGTATATTAATAAAGATTCATAATATTTCTGATAGATATTAGTTTTGAAGATTAGCAATAAACAAAAAGTAATTGATAAAAATTATAAAATAAAAAGAGATGCGTCTCGTTGGAGCGATGACTCGAAATCTTTATGCTTTATCTCCCTTTAACAGGCAATTACATGCAAGTATATATATCGTTCTCACGTCGAAGAGAGATTACAGGCCTCTCAAAGGCTCATGCAATCTGCACAATGTTATTTATTGGATATGCGTTACCCGAAACGAGACGCGAGAAATGGAAAAAACGAACGGAAAATTAATTAGTTATAAGGAACATTAGGCAGGAAAATGAAGAAGCCGCAGCGGAGGAGGATTCTCTAGCTTGTCACGACGCGGTGACGTTATTCATCCCGTGTACATCCGCGGTGTCATTAACGCTCTCTCGCGAGATATAGCGACTCGCGCTAACCATGTCGTTTGTGTATATTTACTATATTGTGTATATATATATATACATATATATATATATATATATATATATATTGCCAAGCGGCGAAATTAAGATTAACGAGGAAAGTATTTCTGCGTCGCGAAGGAGTTCTCTACTAACGACGGAAATGACGAACTTTCCGCAGGATAATGAGATCGCGCGAGATAGCCGCGATCGACGATCCGATCCTCGTTCGATCGAAATAATATCCGGAAAGATAACTACTCGATCATCAAACCACACCTGGATGTCCTGAATTCGCATAATTCGATACAATCGAAAGCGAAGGTACTCGACGGTCTTGCTTTATGCCTTATGGCAAGGACACCCGATTTCATATCTATTTTGTAAGAGCGATTCATCAGGAGATGGCAGTGCAATTTAAAGGGACGATATTCGATACGATGCGGATCATATCGTTATTTCATGGAAAGTATTATACTTAGAAGTAACAAGTATAATATATCGATTAAAAAAAAATTTGTTATGAACTTAGACAGCCTCGTAATATGTTTATATACATTTTATATCTTACACACACACACACACACACACACATACACACACATATATATGTCTCTCATTTTATAAAAAATCAATTGTAGACAATCGAATAGTTTCTGAACATGTTCTTTAACTTTTAAATTCGATTATATCGAAAAAGATGTTATTGAACTTTTTCATTCGATAAATATATTTCTTTCAATATGTAATGCACAATATTATGTTTCAGTTAACAAATATATGTAGCTCTTCATTGATAGTTTAGGTAATTAAGCAATTATAATCTGTATCGTCGCAGCCGATAGATCTCTGAATATACGTAATATGTCACGAGTCAGATTACATCGCTAAGATCAAATAGATATATCAAGCGATCAAATCGCGTCCATATTCACCGTAGTGACAACAACGTTTGGCAAATTGAAGCTTAAGACAAGATACCTACATTCCGCGAGATACATCTCGCTTAGTTTATCGGTGAAGCTTTATTACCATAAGCTTGCAGATTTCCTTCATTTACCGCATCGACGAGAAAATTTATACTCGCACGTATCGTCCTATAAGAGGATGCCTTAATGCACTCGGAATATCGCTGTCGCTTTTATTCGACAGTGAAATGACGTACATATGTTATTCAAAAATATATATCGCAGTTTCACGCTTTTATTTCGCTACAAAGCAATAGAGCCGAAATTGCGGAAATGAAGAAATTGTTTCCTTTGTTGATTTTTTAAGTTGAAATAAAAATACTTTTTTGGAAAATAAAAATTTGCTTGATTTCAAGAACTTTTCTTTTAACCGTATAGCGATAGAGAAACTTGTTTGATTCGAACAAATTTGTTTTTTTGTAATCGAAGAAATTTTTCTCTCGGGTGAATAATTCTCTCTTATAATTTTGATCATCGTGCACCATGCATTCGAAATTCGAAACATTCGAATGGAGGGAGTACTTTTGCATACCTCGAGGAGAAGCTGGCATTGCGCGATGCGTCCGCCTGTCCACCGGATCCGTTCGAATCCGTTCAGATCCGTTCAGAT